AGTTAAATTGACTGCCTTTTTTTTTTTGTGGCTTAAATTTATTTAAGATAGAATCTTAATGTCTTAAAAAAAAAAATAGGCCAGGCACAGTGGCTCACACCTGTAACCCTAGCACTTTGGGAGGCCGAGGTGGGTGGATCATGAGGTCAAGGGTTCAAGACCAGCCCAACCAACATGAAACCCTGTCTCTATTAAAAATACCAAAAGTAGTTGAGCGTGACGGCATGTGCCTGGAATCCCAGCTACGTGAGAGGCTGAGGTGGGAGAATTGCTTGAACCTGGGAAGTGGAGGTTGCAGTGAGCTGAGATCGTACCACTGCACTCCAGCCTGGGTGACAGAGTGAGATTAAATCTCAGAAAAAAAAAAAAAATAGAGCCAGGGTCTCACCTGTTGCCCAGGCTGGAGTGCAGTGGTACAGTCGTAGCTCACTGCAACCTCAAACTCCTGGGTTCAAGTGATCCTCCCACCTAAGCTTCTGAGCCTGAGTAGCTTGGGCTACAGGCACATGCCACCACGCACAGCTCTATTTTTTTTGTAGAATTGGAGTCTCATTATGTTACCTAGGCTGGTCTCAAACTGCTGGCCTCAAGTGATCCTCCCTCTTTGCCCTCCCCAAAGTACTTGGATTACAGTCGTGAGGCATCCCACCTGGCCTAATGTCACTATTATAAACGGAAAATACAATAAAAATAAACAACAGAGAAAAACGGCTAGATAATTCAATTGTAGCCAGATACCGTTCTCTGACAAAGATTCTCAACCTGAGATCTGTTCACTCTTTTAAAAAAGGGAGAAGAACAAATGGTATAAAAGACCAAAGATATACTCACCTCAAATGCTGACTTTCTCTTGGCCGTGGTCAGGATAAACAGCATTGAAAGGTGAATGGCTTTTCTACTGTGTAGTTCCAGGTTTAACACTGGGATCTGGTCTCTCCTAAGACAGTGGTTCTCCCTCAGGGTGAGTTTGCCCCTCTGAGGACATGTGGCAATATCTAGGGACTTTTTTTTTTTTTTTTTTGAGGTGGAGTCTCACCCTATCACCCAGGCTGTAGTGCAGTGGTGCAGTCTCTGCTCACTGCAGCCTCCACCTCCCAGGTTCAAGCGATTTTCCTGCCTCAGCCTCCCAGGTAGATGGGATTACAGGCACCTGCCACCACAACCAGCTAATTTTTGCATTTCTTTTTTTTTTTTTTTGAGACGGAGTTTCGCTCTTGTTACCCAGGCTGGAGTGCAATGGCGCGATCTCGGCTCACCGCAACCTCCGCCTCCTGGGTTCAGGCAATTCTCCTGCCTCAGCCTCCTGAGTAGCTGGGATTACAGGCACGCGCCACCATGCCCAGCTAATTTTTTGTAGTTTTTAGTAGAGACGGCGTTTCACCATGTTGACCAGGATGGTCTTGATCTCTTGACCTCGTGATCCACCCGCCTCGGCCTCCCAAAGTGCTGGGATTACAGGCTTGAGCCACCGCGCCCGGCCAATTTTTGCATTTCTTAGTAGAGACAGGGTTCACCATGTTGGCCAGGCTGGTCTTAAACTCCTGACCTCTGGTAATCTGCCCACCTTGGCCTCCCAAAGTGCTGGGATTATAGGTGTGAGCCACCGTGCCTGGCCCTCGGGACATGTTTGGTGGTCAAAACTTAGTTGATGCTGCTGGCATCTAGTTGGTAGAGGTCAGGGATGCAGTTAAATATCCTACCAAGCATGGGACAGTCCCTGTCACAAAGAATGACCCAGCCCTGAAGTCTGGTGCAGAGGCTGAGAAGCCTTGACCACAGATGATTTCTGTTACCGGTCATATCTGTCTCTTACTTTTCTGGTCTGGCTTGAACAATCCCAGGGGCGGGAACCGCCTTGCTTGGGAAGGAAGGTGCGATGGCTTGCACTGTGGCGGTGGAAGAGAGCATAGCACATCACTACAACAACCAGATCAGGACGCTGATGGAGGAGGACCCTGAAAAATACGAGGAACTTCTTCAGGTATTTGCCCATGCTCTAGAACAGGGCTGCTCAAGGAGGCAAAGGGCAGACAGCAGTTGGGTAAGAGGAAAACATTCGAGATTGTTAGGGAATGATAGGGTTTAGAGGCCCACTCAGTTTAAAGGTGAGCAAACTGAGGACCAGAGAGGTGAATCCATCTGCCCTGGTCATACAGCACAGACAGAGCTGGGGCTAGAACCTTTGTCTCCTTTGTGTTTTTTTCTTTTTATTTAGAGATGGGGTCTTGCTCTGTTGCCCAGACTGGAGTACAGTGGCACAGTTATAGCTCACTGCATCCTCAAACTCTTGGGTTCAAGTGATCCTCCCGCCTCAGCCTCCCGAATACCTGGTACTACAGGTACATGCCACCATGCCCAGCTACTTTTTTTTTTTTTTAAGAGATGGAGTCTTACTATGTTTTCCAGGCTGGTCTGAAACTTCTGGGCTCAAGGGATCCTCTCTCCTTGGCCTCCCAAAGTGCTGGAATTATAGGCACAAGCCACCACATCTGGCCAGAACACTTGTCTCTTGAGCCCTGGTCTGTTCACTTCTTTTTTTTATTTTTAATGTTTAAAATTTTTAGTAGAGATAGATTCTGTGTTGCCCAGGTTGGTCTTGAACTCCTGGGCTCAGGTGATCCTCCTGCCTTGGCCTCCCAAAGTGCTGAGATTACAGGTGTGAGCCACACCACCCGGTGCTGTTCACTTCTTTTTTTTTTGAGATGGAGTCTTGCTCTGACGCCCAGGCTGGAGTGCAGTGTGCAGTGTCGGCTCACTGCAGCCTCCGCCTCCCGAGTTCCAGCGATTCTGCCTCAGCCTCCTGGGTAGCTGGCATGCACCACTATACCCAACTAATTTTTGTATTTTTAGCAGAGACGGGGTTTTACCCTATTGGTCAGGCTGGTCTCAAACTCCTGACCTCAGGTGATCCTCCTGCCTCAGCCTCCCAAAGTACTGGAATCATAGGCGTGAGCTACCATGCCTGGCCCACTTCTTTAACACTGGTAGATTCTAAGCAGATGGTGTGAGCAGGAACCCTTTAGATTCAATAAATGAATTAATAGATATCCTGAGATAATTTTCCACAGCAAATAAGGGAACTGTTTAATTTTTTAGAGTCTAAATCTGAGATTGGCAAACTATGACCTGTGGCCAGCTACCTGTTTCTTTAAACTTTTTTGTTTTTTGAGACGGAGTCTTGCTGTGTCACCAGGCTGAAGTGCAGTGACACGATCTTGGCTCACCACAACCTCCACCTCCCAGGTTCAAGCGATTCTCCTCTCTCAGTCTCCCGAGTACCTGGGATTACAGGCGCACACCACCACACCCAGCTAATTTTTGTATTTTTCGTAGAGACGGGGTTTAACCGTGTTGGCCGGGGTGGTCTCGATCTCTTGACCTTGTGATCCGCCCACCTCAGCCTTCCAAAGTGCTGGGATTACAGGCGTGAGCCACCATGCCTAGCCTTTAAATAAACTTTTATTATAACACAAGCACACTCATTTATTTGCATGTCTCTGGCTGTTTTTCCTGGCTACAGTGGCAGAGTTGGGTAGCTGGGACAAAGTATTTACTCTCTGAACTTTTATAGGAAAAGCTGGCCTCCCCATCTTAGGCTATTCTAAGAGGCTTTAGCCTTCAAAATGAAATGGAACAGCAGGACAGCTGGAAGGCTAACTTGTTTCGGCGTCTTTTTATTTAACCAGGTGATTAAGAAATTTCGAGATGAAGAGATTGAGCACCATGACATAGGCATTGACAACGATGCAGAATTGGTAGGCCGATTGTTACCTGTCCTGCTTTGGGGCTCCTTATTGGGGAGGGAGGCTGAGGGGGCAGGAGGTTTCTGTTCCCAGAAAAATACATTTTAAGCGACAGCCCAAGGGAGAGAAAACCAATGATGTTGCTTTAGAAAAAGCAAGCAAGCAAGCGCATTATTGCTCCTGATTGAGAATCTCTCCTTGCTTTATCCCTTTTCCTTTTCCCCAGGAGCTTTTTTTTTTTTCTTTGAGACAGAGTTTTGCTCTGTCGCCCATGCTGGAGTGCTGCGGTGTGATCTCAGTTCACTTTAGCCTCTGCTTTCTGGGTTCAAGCAATTCTCTTACCTCAGCCTCCTGAGTAGCTGGGATTAGAGGTGCACAGCACCATGCCTGACTAATTTTTGTATTTTTTATTTTTAGTAGAGACGGAGTTTTTGCCATGTTGGCGAGACTGGTCTCGAACTCCTGACTTCAGGTGATCTGCCTGCCGTGGCCTCCCAGGAGCTTCTTTTCGTTTCCTCTGAGAATCTGGATGACTCCAACGCTTTGGCAGTAGCAGAGGCATTCTGAGATTTTGAATAGCTTTCTTTGAAACTAAAACAAATTCTTTCTTAGATTTCTTATACAGAGAAATCAAAACCCTGGCCTGCCAGCCCTGAATCTTACAACTGAAAATAAAGACATAACATGTTTCTTTGTTTGCTTATTGTTTTTAACAGGCTCCAGCATATGCCATCCTGAAGAGCGTTATCCAGGCCGGTTGCAAAGTGGCGATATATTTATCAGAAAGATTGTAAAATGTGTCCAGCTATGCCTATCTATAAAAGATGATAATTTACCAAGTGACATTTGCAGAGAAACAAATGTACAGGTATCACTGTGCTTTTTTTTTTTCTTAACGTAACATGGAGTATGAATCACTGTACTTTTGTACAGTGTGAATTTTGTTAATAAATTATAAGGTGGCTTTTCTTTTTTTAAATCAATAAAACTCTCCAGTGTTGATTTTTCTCTGTGTTGTTTTTTGCCATGAGACTGACAGGTCACCAGCCTTGTTCAGATTACAGCAAACGAAGCTGGGCCTTGTGTGGTCTCATACTTAAGTTTTGTTTTATATACATGTTTTTCTTTTACATACATGTATATGTATATTGTTGGAGACAGGGTCTCACTCTTTTTCCAGGCTGGGTCACAACTCACTGCAGCCTCGAACTCCCAGCCTCAAGCAATTCCCTCACCTCAGCCTTTCAAATAGCTGGGACTATAGATGTGCACCTCCACACCTGGCTAATTTTTTCTATTTTTTTTTATAGAGGCAGAATCTCACTGTGTTGCCATGCTGGTCTCTAACTCCTGGGTTCAGCAGTCCTCTTTCCACCTCCCAAAGTGCTGGGATTATAGTCATGAGCCACTTCACCAGGCTCATTTTCTCCTGAAATGTCAAGGACAAATCATTAATAATGAGCAGGAATTTTTAGGGGAAAAACAATTTGGTTTACTGATAACAAAAGGTAATTGGAAACATGAGAGTATTTATGATTGGCCAAGCAGAACTGTGAAGTCCATCAAGTGAGTCAAAGATCGTCGTCATTACTGTTGAGTTGTGGGTGATATGGGTGGGAGACTGCTGCAGTCTGAATGTTTGTGTCTCCCCAGAATTCATATGATGAAATCTTCACCCTCAAGTTGATAGAAGGTGGAGCCTTTGGGAAGTATAAGATATGAGGGTGGAGCCCTCATGAATGGGATTAGTGCCTTATAAAAGGCCCCAGAGAGATTCCTCATACTCTCCACAGTGTGAGACTTCAAGGGGCCTGGTCTCTGAGGAAGTGGACTTTTCACAAGCACAAATCAACCAGCACTTTAATCATGGACTTCCCAGTCTCCAGGACTGTGAGCAATAAATGTTTGACGTTTATAAGCCACCCAGATTGTGGCATTTTGTTATAGCAGCCTGAACAGACTAAGATGGGGTGTTGCCTCCATCAAAGAATATACTAACTTGTGGATTATTTGTGAAATTGAATTACAGTCATTTCTGTAAGGTCTTTTACTGCTCCTTCCCCCACAAAAAAAAAACAAAGCAAAACTGATTCAAAATGTCATACTTTAATGAAACATTTTATAATTTGCAAATTTTTAAGTAATTTGTAAAAAATCTTGATCAGTGGATCTCCTCTCTAGCTGCTCATTAGAATTTCCTGTGGAGATTAAATTTTTTGTTTGTTTGTGGATCAAGGGTTCTGACTTGTTTAGGGTAGGGTTCAGGATCATAGGGTTTCTGAAGCTCCCGGGTGATTCTGCTGTGAGTTGGGGCTGCCAGTCCCTGAGCTAGATTATAAGATGCTTCTGGGAAATAACCGTATTTTAGGAATTTGCCTTCCAACCAGTGCCCTATGTTTAATCAGCACCTGATGACTTGGCGGGGCTTGCCCCACCACGGTCTGGCTTTGAAGGGCAGTGGATGCCAGGACCATTTGGATTAATCTTCTGCCACCTCTTTCTTTTCCTCAACCAAGAGTGAATTTAATTTTATTTAATCTAGTGAAAGTCTACAAATCATAATTGTAATAAATTAAGGCCAGGCATTTGTTTTATATTAGATAAGATAAAGCCAAAGGTTTGAACAAGTTGTAGATGGTTTGTAAACATTAATCTTGTAAAATAAATTCTCTGTGAACATATTTATTAAATTCAAAAGGGTATTTGGTTTTTCTGTAAATTGAACCTTGGAATAAAAGCACAACAAGGTTTTCTTAAAGCACTGATCTGCTCTTTTACAAGAATTTGTAAAGGGTTATAAAAGGTTTATAAGAATCTCACTTCATGGTCAAACTGGTTAAGATTGGATAGATTTATCTATAAGGTTTTATTAAAAATTGGGGATGACGTTGTTAGTAGATTGATGCAAGGGTGTAATTTGACTCTTGAACAAGATTTTCATGTAATAGTCAAGGATAATGAAAGATTTTTGTTTGCCTTGTGAATAAACTACCAAAAAAAGAAGGGAAAGGAAAGAGACAAATTGTTAGGAAAGTTGTCTTCCCTCTTACTGAGTAAAGGTTGTGTGCCTTTTTTTTTTTTTTTTTTTTTTGAAACGGGGTCTCACTCTTTTTACCCAGGCTGGAGTGCAATGGCGCGATCTCAGCTCACCGCAACCTCCGCCTCCCGGGTTCTGGCAATTCTCCTGCCTCAACCTCCTGAGTAGCTGGGATTACAGGCATGCGCCACCATGCCCAGCTAATGTTTTGTATTTTTAGTAGAGACGGGGTTTCACCATGTTGACCAGGATGGTCTCGATCTCTTGACCACGTGATCCACCCGCCTCGGGCTCCCAAAGTGCTGGGATTACAGGCTTGAGCCACCGCGCCCGGCTGTGTGCCTTTTAAAAAAGTTTTTGAGTCATCATTTTGTCTAATGGTAACCTGTAATTCTGTTTTAATAATATCAAGTGTTTTAAACCTTTAACATGTTTGGTAGGCTTCCCCAAATCAAATTTTAGCTTCAAGGTTGTCTTTTTTGACCCCTAACTTTTGGATGCTCCAGAAGTCTCCTGAATTATTTGACATGTTTAATTACATGGAATTGCCAAAATAAAAATAATGTTTAATTTTCTTCAGGTTACATTTTAGTGAATAACATTAACATGCGTTCCAAAATTATATGAGATTTCTAAAATTATACTGTCTGAGTATATGCTATCAATTATAATTAGGTTTATTAAGTTATTGTAAACCACAGAAATAACCAAATTTGTCAATTGTGTTTTCGACTGTGACTACCCAAAGACAGTTTTTGCATTCACAGACAATTGTAGTCTTGTTTTGATTCTCTTCAAAGGATGGTTTATAATCAGCTATAGAACTTTGACAGGTGCTCTTAAATGCAGGTTTCTGATATCTTTGGAGATTGTGATATTAGGATAAAGGAAAAACATTCAGGACTCCTGACTAGTTGAAATGTTCCTGAATATCAAGCAGAACAAGAGTTAACTGGGCTGAACTAATAGAAAACAAGTAATCTGTTTAACTTTTTGCTTAACACTTTGCTCATCTTCTGTGTTTCAGAGTCAAGAAAACTTTTATTTTGAGCTATTTATAACTTTTAACAATTGAGTAAGGTATACTGCTGTGAACCAAATTTGGAGCATATTTATTTCTCTCTGCTGGTTTCTCTAGAATTTGGAAACTATTTGTGAGTATTCTTATGGCAATGTAGTTATTTGCATCAGTGCAACAAGAATCCATTTTCTTTTGCAACAGGACACAATTGAAAAAACTGTTTTACCAGTTTCCGATAGAAGGGTGTGCTTCCCTTTAAGGAATCAAGCTTGACTTGCAGAGCCAAAAAAAAAAAGCTTCTTAGAAAAATTGGCCTCATACCTCATCTACACACTCCTTGTACAGGGCTCCTAACCTGTGATGAGTAAAGAATGTCACTTTCTAACAGGCCCAGGAGCCCCAAGTTATCTTGGGACCTCAAAAAGAGAGAAATTTACTCAACTCATAGGTATTTGAAGGTAGAAACCCATTCCTGGGCTTGGCTTTAAAAAGTCTTTCCTGAGATTCCTTATGGAACAGAATTCCATCAGAGCCAGTTTTAAAAGCATATATGAAAAATAATTATTCTTGCTGTACTTTATGCAAATAATCAGGCCAAGTAAAAGACTAAAGTTTATTTTGCAAACAACTCAGTCTTATCACAATTTAACAAAAATGTGGACTGGAGAGAAAAATTATGTTTCAAAACTCATCAGACTTGTCATTAAATTCTAGTCTCATTAGTTGTTTTTGTCTGTATTTTAGACTAATCCTACTTATTCCTGTGAACCAACCAGTGATCTCTGGCTGCAGCTCAGAAGAAACAAAAGGGATAGGTAATATAAAAATCTGAATCAGTATTCTAGTTCTGGGCAGCTATCCTGCAAATCCTGCCAGGTGACAGGGGAAAATGGGGTGCCCATAACCCGGAGATTTCTTTGGGAAAATAAGACCAGGGGAGCTAACCAAAGCCCAGCCCCATGCACCCCAATTTTAGCAAAACAACCTGTAGCCACAAGTTATCTGGGCATGTTGGCAGCCTCAGGATTTTTGAGTTGTCCTTACTCCCTTGTTTCCTTTTAATACATGTCTTCTAATAACCTAGTTTGTCTCTTCTCACCTAGAGGTCATCAAACTCCAAAGGGTCATGCTGTTGGAATCTTAAGACGATGGCCCCTTTTACCAGGGACCCTTAGGCCTCTGAGTGAGCTCTGACTGCTGTTTTCCCAAAACAACCCCCCCTGTCAGCAGGGAGCAGTTAAGAGTGATCATTGTCCTTATCCTAATGGCAGTAAGATGTACCTCTTGAGAGGGGAGAATGGTAGCAGCAGGAGGCAGTCAAATGCCCAGGCAGATAGGGGTGGGTCCCTGGTGAAACACAAACTTCAAACCAAAGACAGTTTAAAGGCTGAAAGCCAAGCTACAAGTCTGGTAAATCCACAGACTGGACTGAGAACCTGTCTTCCTGTTTGGCGTGATTGATCTCCACCCTTCACTTATTTTACATACACCTACCCGTCCTTAATTGTTTTTTTACACTGTTGTACCCAACTTTGAGTGGTGCCTTTGTTTTTACCCTTTTTTGCATACTCAGAAACCAATCAGCATGCACTCCCCCATTCTGAGCCCATAAAAGCCCTGGACCCAGCCACACTGGGGGAGAGACCACCCAACATTAGGTGGGGGACCACCCTCGTGTCCCCTGTCTGCTGAGAGCTGTTCCTTCACTCAGTGAAATTCTTCTTTGCCCTCCTCACTTTTCGATTGTCAGCATAACCTCATCCTTCTTGGATGTGGGATAAGAACTTGGGAACTGCCAAATGCAGGTACGAGTTGTAACACAACCGGGCTGGAGCACACCTGGCCCAGCCACAGGCTGAGCCCATGTGCAAGTCAGGTGCAGCCAGTGGACCACGTGGGTGGGGCGCCTCCTGCGGCAGGTCTGGGGCCAAGTGAGGCCTGGGCTGGGGGGCATCACCATCGTGGAGTTCCCCGGTTGGCATAGTGGCTGAGAAAAATCCTGCATCAAAACCTTGCTGATAAGAATGAAAAATAGTAAAGGCATTTCAGGAAACAGCCTGGTAGTTCCTCAGTTCAACAGGTAACATAGGATACAGCAACTCCTTTCTTGAGTGTTAACCCAATAGAAATGAAAACATGGCCATGTGCAGTAGCTCACAACTGCAATCCCAGCACTTTGGGAGGCTGAGGCAGGTGGATCACTTGAGCCCAGGAGGTTGAGACCAGCCTGGCCAACATAGCAAAACCTCTTAGCTGGGTGTGGTGGTGGGCTCCTGTTGTCCCAACTACTTGGGAGGCTGAGGTTAGAGGATCGCTTGAGCCCAGGAGGTAAGGCTGCAGAGAGCCATGATTGCACCACTGCACTCTAGCCTGGGTGAGAGGGAGACCCTGTCTCTAAAAAAAGAAAGAAAACGTGTTCATACCAATACTTGTACATGAATGTTTATAATAACTAAAAGTGGAAACAACATATGTCCATCAACTGATGAACAAAATGTGATATACCCAAACAAGGCAGTCTTACTCAGCTATAAAAAAATAAAGTAGTGATACATGATACAACACAGATGAGCCTTAAAGACATCACATGTGGGTCCAGAGGTTCAGTATGGGAAGATGAAAATAGTTCTGGAAATGGATGGCGTTGATTGTTGAATAGCCATGTGAATGTACTTATTGTCAGAGAAATGTATTCTTAAAAGTGGTTAACATGGGGGCCAGGCACAGTGGCTCATGACAGCCATCCCTGTGCTTTGGGAGGCCAAGGTGGAAGGATTGCTTGAGTCCAGGAGTTCGAGGCTGCAGTGAGCTAGGAGAGCACCAGTACATTCTAGCCTGGGCGGCTTTGTCTCTGAGGAAAAAAGATAAACGTTAAAATAGCAAATTTTATGTGATGTATATTTTACCACAGTTTTTTAAAAATCATGTGAAGTGAAAGAAGCCAGACACAAAAGGTCATATATTATTCCACTTACAGGAAATGTCCAGGATAGGCAAATCCATAGAAACAGAAGGTAGATTGTGGTCATCTGGGGCTGGTGGGTTAGGGAGCGGCAGAAATGGAGAGTAACTGCTAATGGATACAGAGATTCTTCTTTTTTTGGGGGGTGGGGGTGTTGATAAAAATGTTCTAGAATCAATGTGATAGTTGCACAACCCATACTTAAATTTACTGGATCATACATGTTAAAATTGTAAATTGTGGGCCGGGCGCAGTGGCTCAAGCCTGTAATCCCAGCACTTTGGGAGGCCGAGGCGGGTGGATCACAAGGTCAAGAGATCGAGACCATCCTGGTCAACACGGTGAAACCCCGTCTCTACTAAAACTACAAAAAGTTAGCTGGGCATGGTGGCACGTGCCTGTAATCCCAGCTACTCAGGAGGCTGAGGCAGGAGAATTGCCTGAACCCAGGAGGTGGAGGTTGCGGTGAGCCGAGATCGCGCCATTGCACTCCAGCCTGGGTAACAAGAGCGAAACTCCGTCTCAAAAAAAAAAAAAAATTGTAAATTGTATGGCATGTAAATTGTCTTAGTCTGTTTTGTGTTCCTGTAACAAAATACCCAAGACTGGGTGATTTATAAAGAGAAGAGATTTATGGCCAGGGGTGGTGGGTCACGCCTGTAATCTCAGCACTTTGGGAGGCCAAAGCGGGCAGATCACAGGGTCAGGAGTGATCAACGTGGTGAAACTCTGTCTTTACTAAAAATACAAAAATTAGCCGGGCATGGTGGTGGGCGCCTGTAATCTGAGCTACTCAGGAGGCTGAGGCAGAAGAATCACTTGAACCCAGGAAGCGGAGGTTGCAGTGAGCCGAGATTACACCACTGTACTCCAGCCCGGGTGACAGAGTAAGACTCCATCTCAAAAAAAAAAAAGTTGCCAGGCACAGTGGCTCAAGCCTGTAATCCCAGCACTATGGGAGGTCGAGATGGGCAGATCACCCGAGGTTAGGAATTTGAGACCGGCCTGACCAAGGTGGAGAAACCCCCATTTCTACCAAAAATACAAAATTAG